GCATTCACAGGGAACACCTGCAGAAATTACTTGGGAAGTTCCTTGGACTCACACAGACCCTAAACACTGATTATTTTTTATCTAATTTTTTGCTACCAGTCCCATCTGTCCCCTCCTCCTCCTCCACTGTCCCAGATTCCTGGTAGAGTTAGGTTCCCTACGAGGCTGAGCACAGATATCTTAAAGTGTTATTCCATAAAAATAAGCAGCAAAGCATGTGCAGACTGCAGGACTGTAGCAGCAGAAGAGGCTCTGCTCATTTGATAAAACCAGTGCTGAGACCCCCAAGCCCAGGTTTCATTAATCCTAACACTTCCACTGTCCCAGGCTGCTCCAAACCCCACCCTGGAACACTTCCAGGGATCCAGGGACAGCCACAGCTTCTCTGGGCACCCTGTGCCAGAGTCTCCCCACCCTCCCAGCCAGGAATTCATTCCCAAAATCCCACCCAACCCTTCCCTCTGGGATTTTCCCGATATTCCCCCTTCTCCTGTCACTCCAGGCCCTCATCCAAAGGGTAAAGCCAGAATGTTTCTCTCCTAAGTCAATCCTAATTGTCTCCTAAGACAATCATGAGGCACAGAAGCACCCCCAACACCAAGATATCTCCAATAATTTACTCAGCTGAGCAGGGAGTTGTTGCTTATGAGGTTGTTGTTTGGGGTTTCTTTACTGCAGATTTCCAGCTTTTGCCTGGAGGAGATGGAAAATGCCTCAAACCAGGGTAGGTTTCGGTTGGACATTGGGAAAATTTCTTCCCCAGAAGTGTTGTTGAGCCCTGGCAGGAGAGATCCCTGGAAGGAGTTAAAAGACCATTTTAAAGATGGTTTGAGAGGGCTTTTCCAACCTGAGAAATTCCATAATTCTGTGTTTCTGTTGGACAACAAAGGGTCCCTGACCTCCTGTGGGAAACACTCAGAGCCTCTGGCAGCAAACTTTGGGGTAAAGAACTCAAGAACCTTTTTTTTGTGCTTTGCTGGGATAAAATTCCAGAACTAACATTGCATGAGCTTTTCATCCAAAGGTTCATTTGAGGCTGCTTAAATGTAAACCTCATGGAAAGTTGAAGAATTGAGGTATTTCTGCTTTTGCTCCAGAAATGGAAATAGAGGAGTGCAGCTTGCACCAAAAACGTGGAGGATTTCTACAAAGAGGGAGTTTTACTCTGTGTTTTTTTAGCAGAATAGTAATATTGAGAGGGGAGGGGGGGATTACCACCCAGTACCCACCAGATTTGTTTAATTTGTTAAAAATTTCCCCTCATGAAACTCATCTTCAGAGAGGCCCGACAGCGAACCACCAGCACAGAATATGAAATCTGTCTTTGAAGTTGATTGACATTCTCTCTGCTTCTCCCCCCTGTCAAAACAACTGAAAAAAGACAAGACTCCTGCCAACACCCAATCGTTCAAGTGTCCAAAACACACCGAGCAAACAAAGGAGCCATTAAACAGAACCTCCCCGTTTGAAAACGCAGCGAGGGGGGAACACAGGACAACATTGTCAGGCCAGGCCTTTGTCCCCGTGCCAGTGACATGGAGATGTCTCTCTTCTGACTCAGAGAAAAGGAATCACCAGAGCACAAGACATTATGTTTGCAAGTGTAAAACAGCTCAAGAAATCCCAATTTCACCACTTGCAGTTTCTCTCAGAGGCTTTTTCTTCGTGGTTACTCTGCCTGAGGAAGAACAGAGCACAAGCAAGTCCATGCCCCAGCTCTTTAAAAGCCCTTTTCTATCTTATCTAGATTATAAACACTACAGAACAGCACAGAAAGGGTTTTTTTCCTTTCATAACAACTATCCTTGATGTTACTTTTGCATCTTATTTCCTAGAACCTCTTCTTTCAACGCTCAGCCAGCTGCTAAGAAAGCAGAATTGAATGCCACAGCAAAAACCCAAATAAATTGGCTTCTTCAAAATTCTGCCTGCTTCTCATCTTGAGAGCACTTGCAGCAACTTAAAGAAAGAGAGACAGAAGCAGCTCTGGGTAGATGCTTTTCTTGGAATCTGGTTTTTGAGCTCATGGTGTTTTGTGTCCTGTGAGGTTCAGCCCAGGTCTCTCTTTGAACCTGCCCTCCTCCATTTCCAAACCTCCATCCCAAGTCTGGGGCATTTGGAGAAACATCAGGAGCACAGAGACCCCACTGGAGTTGTGTGCTGTGATCCAGAACCATTCCACAGAATTTCCCAGCACACAGATCTCCCATCCCTGTGCTTGGGATGGTCCAGAGGAGGCCCTGGAGCTGCTGCAGGGCTGGAGCCCCTCTGGAGCCAGGCTGGGAGAGCTGGGGGGGCTCCCCTGGAGAGGAGAAGGATCCAGGGAGAGCTCAGAGCCCCTGGCAGGGCCTGGAGAGGGGCTGGGGACAAGGATGGAGGGACAGGACACAAGGAATGGCTTCACTGACAGAGGGCAGGGATGGGTGGGAGATTGGGAATTGGGAATTGTTCCCTGGGATGGAATTCCCAGAGCAGCTGAGGCTGCCCCTGGATCCCTGGCAGTGCCCAAGGCCAGGCTGGAGCACCCAGGGATAGTGGAAGGTGTCCCTGCTCATGGCAGGGGTGTCACTAGATGAGCTTTAAGGTCCTTTCCATCCCAAACAATTCCAGGATTCTTTTCAGGACTCAGCTGACCCCTCTGTGCCAGCTCCATGCTATCCATGAGGAGCCTTCCAGCAGCAACCCTCTGCTTCTGCTTCCTGGCTTTTGCTTCTTTTCTCTTTTCACTCTGAGCAACTCCAGTCCAAAAAAATATTAAGCCAATAATCAGGAGCACTTGGGAGTTAGAGAGCAGCTGCAGCCACTGATTATTTTCCTTGCAAGAAGGTGTTTATGAGGCTGCAAATCTGCATTAAGAGAGGATGCCTGAAGATCTAATACTTTGCATAAGTCTAAGGAAATTAATAGAAAAACCAAACAGGAGCCCAGTTCCTCAGCTCATGGGAGTTGGTGACAGCAAACACAGCTCTGTTAGTGAAGCCAGCAGCAATTTGCCCCAGAACTGCCAGTGCTTTGCCTTCAGCACAAATCCTCACCCATCCAACAAGTGGAATTGCTCACTGGTGACCCACACACAAATATTCCACAGAGCAAAGGACATTTTCCTATGCCCAGGTGCAGAAGAAATCTAATATGAGGGGAAAGAAGAGAAAGGTTTGATTGTTCAGCTTTTTAACTTTGTTGGAAATGGTCTTTACCTGCAGCCAGAGTTGTGGCAGCAGGAGCAGGGCAGTGCCTGTCCCAGTCCCCCTCTCCTGGGGGCACTTTTGGGCCCCTCAGGACAAGGACATGGAAGGGCTGGAGCATGTCCAGGGGGGCAAAAGGCTGGGAGAGGGTCTGGAGAACCAGGAGAGGCTGAGGGAGCTGGGAAGGGGATGGAGAATCCCTGAGGGAGCTGAGGGGGCTCAGCCTGGAGCAAAGGAGGCTCAGGGCCCTTCTGGCTCTGCACAGCTCCTGCCAGGTTTGGGATCTGCTCCCGGGAACAGGGACAGGAGGAGAGGGAACAGCCCCAGGCTGGGCCAGGAGAGGTTTGGATTGGATATTTGGGGAAAATTTCTTCCCAGAATGGGTTTTCTATCCCTGGCACAGCTGCCCAGAGAGGGTTGGAGTCCCCATCCCTGGAGGGATTTAAAACCCATGTGGATGTGGCACTTGTGGACATGGGACAGTGCTGGCCTTGGCATGGCTGGACTCAATGACCTGAGAAAACTTTTCCAGATGTAATTATTCCATGGTTGGCTGTTCAGCTGCAATCACCCTGCCAGACAGACAAACCAGTGTCCCAGTGTCCCCCATCACTGGTGGCACTGGGTTCTCCACCCAGACTGATCCCCTCCTCCACTGCAAACAGCAGCTGCTCTGCCCCACAGGAAACCACCACTGAAAATCAGGGGGAAAAAAAAGAAAAATGGACAACATGAGCTTGGATATGACCAGGGCACCTCAAGGATTTCACCTTCAGGGTCTGACACTGAATTCCACGACAGGAGATCCCCCTGTCCCACCAAAACCCAGCAGCACAGTCTTTTCCCTGAGGTGGATTTTACCCCACCCTTCTCCTTCCTGAGGAATTCAGATCTCTTTTCCCAACTGAATTATTCTCAACCACTGCCCACCTTGGGAGTTTCAACTTTGGCATCATTGGGAAGAGTCTGAAATATTTATAATACCAATATTTTCTCCACTAAAAAAAAAAAAAAAAAAATGCACAGAAGGTGGGTGGTGTTTTCTTCTTGCTCCTATTAAGCCAAAATCCCAACCACCTCATTTTCTGTCTTACACTGCTCCCTAATCCTTGTCCCCAGTTATCCACCTGCAGCCTGCATGAAAGATAAATCATCTCCCCCAGTTCAGGAGCAACTTCAATCAGCAAATCACTCGGAATCACAAGCACACCTGAGGGGTGGATTTGGTTCTTTAAGCTGCTGCAATTTCATAGTTGGCAAAGAAAAATGGCTTTGCAGTGAGCTGGGAGAAATTAGGAATTTATCAGCCTGAAGTGCTCAGATGAACAAGAGAGATACAAGTGTGGAGTTTGGGTTTGGAACAGAGCATCACACTCAACACAGAAAATCTAAAATTTTGTTTGGGAACAACCACCAAGCAGTCCTTATTAAATAAAAAGGTTATTAAAAAATATTTATCCTATAAATAGAATTCAAGGGCCACATGAAGACGTGAGGTTTTTTGCTGATCAAGTGCCAGGTGTGTTGTTCAAAGCACCTGTAAAATTGAGGCAGTGAGAGTGAACTGAAAGAAGAAAACTCTAGCTGAGACAAATCCCTTAAAATTCAGCTCCCAAATCCCAGAGCCAGCCCATGTGTTTGGGAAGAACATCCTGGAAACTGGTAGAGGCCATTAATACAATTTAATGCTCCGGGCTAGAATCAGAGTAGCTGCAGAGTGGAAATGGCTGAATATTGCAGAAAACCTGTAAATAAAGGCATTGTCTGCCTGTCCATGAGCAGGGGTTTTTAATTTTTTTTTTTTTTTTTTCTCAGCAAAACCAGAGGACCAAATGGAGCTGCACTCAAATTATAGCCCAGGATGAGGCTGGAGATGTGATTCCTAGTAAAGATCCACACCTGCCTGGATGCCACCACCACCTCCCACTACCCCTCTGCCTCTGGCCCCTGCCCTGGCAGGAAATTCATCCAGGTAATGTCCTTGATGATAGATATTAACCTGCCTGCAGCGCCTCACCATCCCAGCAGCTGCAAGGACCCAAATGACTCTAACACAGCAGCCCACTGTGAGTAAGGAGCTGCTGGCACAGCCTGTGATTACGAGCAATTGCAGCAGAGATGTTGTAGCAGCAAATTCAGAGATGTTTCTGAAGTTTGGGAGTAAAGGAAGTTATAGAAAAACAAACACCAGCCTAAAAGAAGACTTGGAAGCAAATTCAGATAGCAAAGGGGAAGAGGAAAACATGACTGGAAGTGTTCAAGGAGGTGGGACAGGGCTGGAGCAAGCTGGGACAGTGGGAGGTGTCTTTAAGGTCCCTTTAACCCAAACCATCCTGGGATTTTATGATTCTTGTTACATCAGAAAAAATGGGAGGAAAAATCAAGGATAAGGCTCTCCCTGCCCAAGCCCAGCCATGGCTCATTAGGGGTTTTTTTCCCTCAAAAAGAGGTTACCAGGTTAAGAAAAGATGCTGTGGGGTGCCTCTGGCCCAGCCCTGTCCTTCATGGAACAGTGCAGGTGTTTTCCTTGGGAATTACACGGCTGGGCCAAAGAGCAAAGGGTTCAAACTGAAAAAGGGGACATTTGGGTCAGACTTGCAGAAGGAATTGTTCCCTGGGAGGGTGGGCAGGCCTGGCACAGGTGCCCAGAGCAGCTGTGGCTGCCCCTGGATCCCTGGCAGTGCCCAAGGCCAGGCTGGAGCAGCCTGGGACAGTGGGAGGTGTCCCTGCCCATGGCAGGGGTTTGGAATGGGATGAGATTTCCAACCCAAACCATTCCATGATTGGAATGGGATGAGATTTCCAACCCAAACCATTCCATGACTCTGTGATTCTGTGCTGTAAGACCACCCTATAACAGGTTACCATGAACGGGGTCCCTCCCAAACACCCAGGGTGTTTCCCTGCACCACTCTGAGCTCCACAAGTTCCTGCACAGGCTGTGGATGCTCCTGGGGGTGGGCACAGGTAAAGAACCAGAACCAGAGGGGTCCCTCCAAAGCATGGCCACTCTCCCCATTCCTGGTTAGCCAGGCAAATTTGAACCTTTCGAGGTGAAGATCTCTCTATCCCATTACCAGCCATAAAGACCATCTGCTCCCTTACTCCCTGATTAAAAAAAAAAAAATGGTGCGAGCCGCACATCATCCATCAGAATTAATCCAACTCACTTTGATGAGTGCCTTTTAGGGGGATGGGGGCAGGGAAAAATTAAAAAAAAATAAAAAAAGAAAGAAAATTCTGCGAATTCAACCCGTCGCGGGGGGAAAGACCCCAGAGCGCTCCCTCCATTTTCCCCCACGCTCCATCTCCCGGAGCAGGGGGGGAGGACCGGGGGGAGCCTTCCTCCCGGACAAAGGGCCGCTATTGTCCCCCGCCCCGCCGTACCTGAGCTGTCCATGGTGCTGCTGCTGCCTCCGGGCTGCGGCTGCTGCTGCTGCTGCTGCTGCTGCTGCTGCTGCTGCTGCTGCTGCCGCCCGGGGCTCCGGCCCGGCCCCTCAGCGCCGCTGTCCACCAGCTGCAGGGATTCATAGCCGTCACTGCCCGGCTTCTTGCGGTAGCTCCCCAGCAGGCTCATGGGCGAGCCGGGCGGGCGAGCGGCTCCGGCAGGGATGGAGGCACGGAGGGAGGGCACGGCGAGCGCTCCGGCCGCCCCGAGGGGAGGGGAAGGGAGGGGAAGGGAGGGGAAGGGAGGGGAAGGGCGGGCCCGCAGCGCGGCCGCCGCCCCGCAGCCGCCGGAAGCGGGCGGGGAGGACGGAGCAGCATCGCTCCGCCGCTCCGCCGCTCCGCTGCTCCGCTGCCTCGCCTCACCCTCATAGCCAAATTTCCCTTCTCACCCTAAATCGGTTAGAAAGAAAATTAAGCTTAGTAGGCCCTGGGAAAAGGGAAAAGTGTAAGTAAGCCTTGTACTTGTTAGAACCGCGCCTGTGTGGCTAGTACGTGATAAATGATATAATAGATGTGTTAGATATAGATATATAATACATATGTTAGATGTGATGGTTGATTAGTAATTAAATATAATTAATTATATAATATAATATTAATATAATTAATCCTAAGAATAATCGTGAGGAACTGTGGTCAGGGCCTAAGAAAGATCACGAGAAACTCATGCTTGAGTAAAGTCAATGTATACAATACAACAATGTAAGTTATGTTAGATGTGATGGTTGATTAGTAATTAAATATAATTAATTATATAATATAATATTAATATAATTAATCCTAAGAATAATCGTGAGGAACTGTGGTCAGGGCCTAAGAAAGATCACGAGAAACTCATGCTTGAATAAAGTCAATGTATACAATAGAACAATGTAAGTTATGTTAGATGTGATGGTTGTTTAGTAATTAAATATAATTTATATAATTATATAATATATAATATAATATTAATATAATTAATCCTAAGAATAATCGTCAGGAACTGTGGTCAGGGCCTAAGAAAGATCACGAGAAACTCATGCTTGAATAAAGTCAATGTATACGATACAACAATGTAAGTTATGTTAGATGTGATGGTTGTTTAGTAATTAAATATAATTAATATAATTATATAATATATAATATAATATTAATATAATTAATCCTAAGAATAATCGTGAGGAACTGTGGTCAGGGCCTAAGAAAGATCACGAGAAACTCATGTCAATGTATACAATAGAACAATGTAAGTTATATAACGATAGAATATAAAATACGTCCCGCTCGAAAGCCAGTGGGAGTCAGATTTGGGGCTGCACCCCTGATTCCCAATGAAAGCACCTGCAGGTGGGTTCCTGCTGTGGGCACTGCCTGCTGGCACTGCCCCACTGGCACTACCCGCTCTGCAGCCTGCAGGACCAGGGTGGCACGGCACTTCTGCCCCAAAATCCCGAGGAGCACCCCTGGGCCGCAGCTGGGCGTGGGCAGGGAAGCAGAGGTGCCCCAGCAGTGATCCCGCTGGGATGATGCTCCAGCATCCCCAACCCTGCCTTGTGCCACCACTCTGGCTCCCAGCAGTGCCACCGGCTGCTAAAGCCATTTTTGTTGTTGTCACCTATCTATTTTTAGCTGTTCCCATGAAAACAGACTCGGGACCAAGCAGAGCGTGGCCCTGAGCGAGTGATGAGCTGTGCCTTGCTCAGATGCAGTTTTCAGCCAGGCCTTGTACATCGTAATTTCATTTTGCACAGATCAGAGGAACCCAGGGATGCTCCAAAGGAAATGAGCACAATTAAACTCTTCTAAGTGGATTTCTTTGTAATTTAAGGAAAACTAAAGGCAAAAGGAAGCCCTAGCAAACAGGCACGAGCATGCCTTTGATCTCTGGCAGAAAGGGAATTTCTCTGCTCAAAAATTAGCTCAGCGTTGTTCCTAAAGCAATGACATCAATAAGCAAGGCCAGGCTGGACAGGGCTTGGAGCCACCTGGGATGAGGGAAGGTGTCCATGCCATGGCAAGGGATGGGCCTGGATGAACTTTAGGTTCCCTCCCAACCCAAATAATTCTGGGATTCTCTAATTCCAATCACTTGTATAGCAACAGCCAGACCTTGAGGTATCACTGGCACCTGGCTGAGATTTCCTGGCTGAAATTTCCTTTGGGGCAGCAGACATCTGGTGCAGCCCTACCTTGTCATGTGCTATTGTTTATGTAACCCCTGAGATTTCATGGTACGGACAAGGTACATCTGTGACCCAGAATTTCCCCAGAAAAACCCCGGCAGATTTACAAGCAGCAAACCAAAAATGAGCTGACCTGACACGAGCAGCTCCCTGTCAGCAGCAGGAACAACTTGAACTCCAGGTTGGGGTTGTGTTTTCTACCCCCTCCATACTTTGGTCTGTGTGGAGCAATTTGTGGATTGCAACACTGGCCAGCAGGGAAGGGCCCCTCCCTCTCAGCAACCACAAGCAGTACGTTAATAAAATTAAAAATAAACACATTTTCTGAGGCATTTTGTGCATTCTGAGCAACTTGGGCTAGTGGGAGGTGTCCCTGCCCTTGGCAGAGAGTTGGAACAAGGTGGTTTTGAAGGTTCTTTCCAACCCAACCCATTCCAGGATTCCATGATCTTTTCTAGGGATCACATCTGTCAGCCTCTCCTGGTCAGTCTAGAATAAAACAATTCCTGGGAAGTTTCTGGGGGTGGAGGTGAATTTTCATTTGGTTTGCTTGCTCTGGTAAAGCCTAAACACATCAAAACAGGTGGAGGAGAAACCTGGCAGGACACAAACCCTGCAGAGCCTAAAACCCATCACCTGTGGTTCCACCTGCACCCATCAGCTCCAGAGGCTCAGCTTGGACAAAATTCCATATTCTCAATAATCCAGCAGCCACTCTCTCACTGCTGGGCAGCCAAGGTCTGTCTGCCTCAGCTTTTTTTGGGGGGAAAATAAAACCAAAAATTGCTCCTCTCTGTTGAATCTGCTATTAATTCCTTTCCTTGTCCGAGGTTTTGGGGGCTCACAGAGGAATCCCCACCAAAGCCTGGAGCTCTAGCTGGAAAAAGGGGGTTCTGCAGAGCACAAAGGGACAGAACAGCCACTCATGGGGATCTTGGGGAACAGCAGGAGAAGGAGACAACCTCCAAGTCCCACCCTTGCTTGTATGAACTGAAGGATTAGGGAATCCTGTGGGGTTCAGGTGAAGCTGCACTCTTCCAGTGGGAAGTTTAGCTGAAAAGAACATATAAAATAATGTTCCCCTCTCCTTCCCTCCTCTGTGTAAGTTGGGCTAAAGCAGGGCCACATGGTTTCTCTGGGTTTTGGAGAACTACAGTGTAAAAAATGGTATAACAACCAAAAAAAAAAAAAAAAACACAAACCTCAACCAAAAGCAAATAACTTTGAATTGCACATGACTTTCAAAGCTGAAAAGGAAGGGGATGAGCCCCTCAGAAATATTAATTTATTGAGCAGTGGCTGGTGACAGATCTGAGGCACCCTGACTGAGGGTCAAGGCTGGCAGGGGCCACAAGGGCTGGGGAAGTGTTAAGGACGTGCTAAAGAGGATTTTGTGTTGCTCAAGCCTCAAGAGATACAAACTCTCCCCATTCCTGACCTTGGGAAAAATTGATTTGCCAACCTCTGGCTGTTTTTCTCTGTCTGGGTCGCAGCCTCTCCTGGGTAAAGTCTCTCTTTGTTGCTGTAACCAAGCCCCAACTGTCCTGAGGTGCAATTCCATTTTCTGCTCCTCTCCTCCCATCAGCTGAACAGCTCAGGTGAATTATTACACCCTGAATTCTTCAGGAGGACAATTAAACTGGGGAGTGCTGTTAGAATTGCAAATAGAGCTTGAAAATTAATGGAATACCTGGAGCAATACCTTTAAAACTCCCCATACAAAACATTTGTTCTGGAGTTTCTCACCTGGGA